CGGGCAGGCGTGAAGTTAGGAAAGAATTCCGGTGGTGAGATAAAAATTCGAAGTAGAGACGTTGGTGAAGATAGAAGTGGAATAAATTATAACGATTAGTGTCGAATTTATAATACGTAAAAATATATACATACTCGTATCTTTTGTTTATTTACGTTTGAATTGGGTCGCTGTGACGCGTCGCTGTTTCGATTCTATTCCTCTATTTTCAACAGTCGTACGACGCGACGTAGCGAGCTCAGACATAGTGGAACGATCCGCGTCTATATAACATAGTTTATTTCTATTTTTTATTAAATATATTCTTTCTTGTTGTTGCTTTTGGTCAAATCATTTCCAATTAATTTATTTCCTAATAATTAGTTTAGAAATAATAATATAGAATATTAATTAGAAATATATATAGTTTAGAAATAGAAATATATATTTAGAATAATGTAGATATAAAAGATCGTGTTTCGAGAAGGATGTACGCATTTTGTTTCGATTGTAAAATTGTTATATTATTATTGGTAAGTCCTAAGTAAATTCTAACCACAAAAAGATTCTTAACGGCGTCTCTGAGTAAGCTAATTATACAAGCTGCTTCATACACGACCGTTACAAAGAAGCAACGAATGCCGAACAGGGAATACTCGTAAAACTTTCCAACTTTCATTAAACTTTATAAACTTTAAAATTAGTTTTCTCGTTTATCTCGGTGATAAAGCAATAGAGTTTGCAAAAAATCTAATAATCAAAGCTCAGTCAAATGACGTATATATGGCCTCTAAAATATCGATTTCTTGTGTCGTTCGATGAAAATGATAATAATATCAGAAAAATTACGAAATTAAAATTCTTTTTTTCCGTTCCATTATTTTAAAACTTCTTATAAATTATTCTTTTCCCTCTCGGTTCTCTCCAAATCATTATTGCTCATCATCAACTATTATCCATTATCCATATTTCAGTCAATTCCCCTTCTCCCCTCGACCACGAGCCACGAGTACATTAATTTCACTCAGTTCAGAGAGCCACGCGTATGTTAACCTCTTCTCCTTTCTTCTTCATTACACGCGATATCTACACGCATCACGTCTACATAGTCATCCCTAAATTAATGAATTCTATTATTGGTGTTTCATCAATAATAAAAATTATCGTAAGTATCGGAAACGACTAACTCTTTTTTTTATTTTTATCCTTTATAACGACGCTGATGAAAGAATTCTATTAAACTCTTTTTCAAAATTGAAAAGAATGAAAATAAAAAAATATTATATGATTCCAAAAATATTGATAATATTAAAATTTAGTACGGTACAGAAACGTATACTTACTGATACACTTATTTCGATCAAGAGATTAAAAAAAATAGGAAGAATTATAAATAATAATTTTACTTTTCAGCAATTTCGAGACTGACTACTTTTTAAACCCGCATCAACCGAGTTAATAATTAACAAATATGAGGTAAAAAAAATCATACTATATACCAAACTGTGTTCAATTAAATTGATCTGTATAAAAATTTTTTCATTCTGACGATATTTATGAAAAGGGACTTTTTTTCCGCTTTTGAGAGGCAAATATGCCGCCCTCGAAACGACGAGTCGCGGTATCCAATTAACAGCGCCGTCAAAAATGATCAGGCGGCTGATTCGTCGGCTCGCGAGAATTTATCATTATAAAACACGGTTCTAATTGTGGGAACGGATTTTTCCGCGTGTCACGGCTCGGCTAAGGAATTTTTATTCGGCGGATTTCACGTCAATTAAGCGGGAGAGGAAGGATGACAACTCGTTATATCGATGGTCACGGGACGACACTCTCGGATGAGATGTGTAAAAAAAAAAAAAAAAAAAAAAA